ACATATTCTTTCGAAAATAAACCAATATATTTTCTAATATAATGTTCAAAATTTTTAGCACTAATATTATTAATTTCGTTAATAATTGATTATTAAAATATATAAATAAATTAACTTATTTTTAAAATAAAATAAATTAATATTCATTAAAATTTGTAAATATAAATTAAAAATTAAACTAAAAATTATCATTAATGTAATAAATAGTTTTTATTTATATATTATTTTAAATATTTAAATAATAATTTATTGTACAGATTGCGAAAAATGAAGAAAAAATCGATTGTAGTATTTTTTTTCTTGCTCTAATGTGGCCTAATTTTTGGATGTCTAGAAAAGGCTTGAATAATGAATCCTTCACCAGATGGCGTTACTTACCCGGGTGTGGTAAATAACCATAGAGTGACGCGTAACGTGAGTCACAGTAGAGCACGAGTATCTGTGCTGTTCTGTTTTTCAGATTTTTCTAGTTTTAAAGCTGCTAATAATCAGGTTGGTAGAAATTTGTTTGTTTATTCGAATGTTTGAATATAAATCTATCTTGTGATTAATTTGTATATATGAGAATAATGCGAAAATTACGAAATATTTGACAGCAGTCTATTTGCTTATATGGACAGCCATTGTTATTGTGTCGTTACTTCGAAGAAGTGTATACGTTTTTGTTAATATTTCTCGTTTAATAAAATTATTTTTATATTTATTGTTATTTAAAAAGAAATAATATCTTTTATAACAATGAAATAAGGATTTTAATCATATCTAGTAAATGTTTATTAAAAATTAAATATTGCCTACGTCAAATATATTTAGCAAAAAATTTAAAATATAAGATTAAAAATTAATAGTTTAATATTTATTCGGAAAAACATAAAAATGCAAATATATTAAAAATATAAAATAAATCATTATTTTATAAATAATATTTTAATAAATGTGTAATAATTTTTAGTAATGTGTGTTAATTTGTTGTTAAGTTATGGTTTAAAATTTAAATTAAATCATATAGTGAATAAAATTTTTATATAAACTTCTATAGATGTAGAGTGTAATGTTCTCTTTATTGAATCATCATGTAAACGATCTTATTTTTATCCCGATTTTGATTACGTCGTTATTTCCTAAGTCAATTGTCTAAAAATAAATAATAGTTCAGTAATGATAGTCTTGTGTAAGATACGTAAATACATTTAACGTTTACTGTTTTTTCTAACACTGTTCTAAATCATGTGAACAAAAATACTCAAATTTACATAACCTCTGTCCCACTTGCAATGCTATCTTTAAAAAATATTTCTGATGAACGAAAGTTTTTTAAAAATTATATAATAATAATATAAATATAATAAAAATATATAATAATAATATATGCTGGCAAAAAATATAAATTAAGAAATTAATTTATTTTTTATTCATAATTTCAGGCATATAAACATGTCTTCGCGTAAAACAGCCGGACGTCGTGCTACCACTAAAAAACGGGCACAACGTGCAACATCAAATGTTTTTGCTATGTTTGATCAAGCTCAAATTGCTGAATTTAAAGAAGCTTTCAATATGATTGATCAGAATCATGATGGTTTCATCGATAAAGAAGATCTACATGATATGCTTGCCTCATTAGGTAAGAACATGAGAAAATCTTTATGGTATAAAGATTTTTTTAAATTGTATATGATAATTTATTTTTGCTTTAGGTAAAAATCCAACTGATGAATATTTGGAAGCAATGATGAATGAAGCTCCAGGACCCATTAATTTTACAATGTTCTTAACTTTATTTGGTGAAAGACTTCAAGGCACAGATCCAGAAGATGTAATTAAAAATGCATTTGGTTGTTTTGATGAAGAAAATACTGGACACATAAATGAAGAACGCCTCAGGGAATTGCTTACGACAATGGGAGATAGGTAATTTTTATATTTTATTTAATATTCTTTATCATCTTATTGAAATTTCATTGTTTTTTATATATTTAGATTTACGGATGACGATGTCGACGAAATGTATCGAGAAGCACCTATCAAAGGATCGATGTTCGATTATATAGAATTTACTCGAATTTTAAAGCATGGTGCTAAAGACAAAGACGAACAGTGAAAAATCTAAAATCAGCGTGCATATAATACATTCTAATATGGCTGCAATTGTAAAGTTTGAAATATTATTGTATTTTGTACATCCTATATTAATGAGAATAATTGCAAATCTAGGATTCATATTATTTTTCGAATAACTGCCTTATCTCTAGATCCTAAATGTATAAATCCTAATATTATAAACATATGATATTTATTTTAAAATATAAATATTCATATATGTGAATTATATAAATGAATACAGAGAAAAAGTGAAATTATTTCATATCTTAACGCAAGTTACAATTACTGTAAAATCAAATCAATAAAAACATAATATGTAATATATATTATATGCTACATTAACATATAATTGTTAAAAAATTGGCATTTATATTTTAATATAATGTATTATATATCAAAAAAATGATGTCTATTTTTACATCCATTCTATTTGATTTTTATATTAAGTAAAAATTAATTTTTGATGCATATAAATGCTTCAATTGAATACAATTTAAAACAGAAAGAGAGTAGCTTATCTAAGTAAATGTAAAATAAAAAATATTTATTTTTACTAATTAATGACAAAATATAAGTAAAATATTTATTTTTTATTCAAATTAACATAAAACAAAAAAATTAAAAATATTTAATAAATTGAGCAATAAATAAATAATAAAAATATTGATTTATATTTCAAAAAAAGAAATATTAAAAATAAAAAAATGTATTATTGATATGTATTAAAAAGCTTTAAAAGAAAAAATAAAATTGACAGAGGATTTTGATAATTGACAGGCGCGATCATTTCGCGTCTGCGCATTAGAACTTATGTACAGTATATACAGAATGAAGTCTCACGAAGCCGCAGTATCATTTCCACTAGTGCGAGTGTGGAGTTTACTTCGTCTGTTCGATTCGTCATTTCTGCCACTTGCGGTAGCCTTTCTTGTCGCGTCTCTGCTCAGTGATTGTTCCATCGAAGAAAAAAGCGAGGCGAAACATACTGGATACGTGTACACTCGGGAACATTGGTTTTTGTCAATCTCCTTGCAAAAAGGACAGAATTAATATTCGAATGTCGTTCGATCATTCACTGACTGCATAACACGATGTGTTTATTGTTTGGTGAATGTTACAGTGAATCGATGTGTTTCGTGTAACGTTGTTCGTCTTGTGAGTGAATTTTCTTTAATTGAAGTAAAAAGATGAGAAATGAAACGAGGGACAAAAGTAGAAGCTGTCAGCCGCGAATTGGGTTACGTCCCGTTCGCCTGGCAACGATATATGACGCAACAGCCACCCTTCGTTAGTATCCGTGATCCTCGTGATTTTTACCTGCGGCTTTAATTGCAACAGGACTTTAAGATACGCGAAAAAAAACGCTAAAGTGCTCTCCATGCAATCAACTATCCTCATTGCATTATCTCCATTGCGCAGTAAGTTTTGGAGGTTAGCTGATCACAAATAAGAAATTTAAACGAAAGCGACACCCACAGAGGCAGTCGGATCAGCTGTTTCCCCAGGACGACCTTTCAACTACGCTTGGTAAGTGTGTTTTCTTTTCAAATTGTTATTATTTCTTTCGTAATACTATTGAAATAATTATTTCTTTACTGAACGTTATAAACAATTTCTTTATAATACACCTTTAATCATGAATTAAATCAACTGCGCGTAATTAATTCTCTTTTGAACGATAGTATTCCTGCATTAGAAGAGTTCATTTTTTTATATGTCGTTATATTAAATAATATAACATATTTTTATATACATTCGAAATATGGGATATAATAACAAAAATTAAATATTATTAAATTTTGAATGCTATTTTGTGATTTCCTTTTACGTGTGTTTTAATATATATAGAAAAAAGACAAGAAAATATGTCACAATAAACATATGGAACACGTGACTATAAATGAGAGCGCTGTTAAAAGCAAAAATGTTGTCTTCGCTCGTTTCGCTATTAAAGAGTTCTTTATTTCTAGACAGTAATTACTAAAGAACGACAGTCAATGGTATTCGTTCACGGTTCGGAACGTAATTTGATTTTTTAATGCTAAAATATTGTAGCATGAAAACGATTTAACGCTTGCGAACAGTACAATTTTCAGTGCAATTTTCTTGAATCACAAATAAAAAGATAATAATACATAACTGTCCACATTGCATACGTTCGGTGTAATATGATCCAATGCTCAAACTGGTCATATCACTTTGATATTGCATAACATGCTTCTATGATTGCTTAAGAACATTAATATAAAAGCGTAACGAGTCTTGAAATTGAATGAATTTAAGTTGTCTCGTTCGACGATCAACTTTCACAAACTAATTTTATCGTTTATTCTGTATAATAAGAAAGAAATGTAAAACTTTTACATTTCAAACTTTAAAATGTTTACATTAAAAACGATCAATTATTTACAACACGATTTTTTTATATAGATGTTTTATTATAAAAACTATGATATAATAAATTATTTTACAATATAACTGATTGTAATAAAAATATCATAAATATATATAAAGATAGAAAATGAAATCGTAGAAACGATATTTTTCACATCAACAAATTAAGGTTTCCGTTGAAATGCATACAAATGAAAGCAGTATTATCAAACTAATTGTATGTACTGAGTCAGGGACGTCTCTAATATGCAGCCATGTTTTCTTTCAAACAGGTTGTTCTAGATACTAGGTAATACGTTAAATCTGTTACGCGATTTTACGTTCTCTGTCGCGAATCCCCGTTTTTTTTTTTCGTGTCATATTGTTCTTTCACAATAAGCGCTAGGCATCTAACACCCACAGTTGTTCAATACAGCTAATAGCTTTACAAAATTGATCACCTTTGTTGCGTAATGTTCGTCCAGAACTTAACCTAATTCTTGATGCTTAATACGACATAAAAAATTAAATTTAAATATATAGTAATTATTAATAATTATAATAATATAATTATATTTGAAATATAATATATTTCAGAAATTATTTTTCTATATCAAAATTGTATATTAATAATAAAATTTATACTAAAACAAAATATTTAAAAAATGAAAATAAACTATATAATAAAATATAATTAATTATTTATTAATAACACAAGTTTAACTATTCGAAAGTTAATTTTGAATATGAATATGTAAAATTGTTTAATTTTCCAAAATTAAAAAAAGAATAAATATAGAATAAATATAGTTTGATAATCAGCAATAAAAAATATAAATATAATATTTCAAAAATCTTTTTTAGTATTTGCAAGATTACAAAAACTTTATGTTACAATGTATTTAATAATATTGACAAAATCTTTATTGCAGACATAATTATTATAAAAATATTTTATATATATAAAAATTATATATATATAATATTATATATAATATATATATTATATATAATATTATATATAATATATATATTATATATAATATTATATATAATATATATATTATATATAATATTATATATAATATATATATTATATATAATATTATATATAATATATATATTATATATAAAAATTAAACTTTAATGATAATTAATCTTCCAAAATGGTAATCAAAAATATGTTGAGATAGCAAAAAATGGAAAACAATTAATATATTAATATCATCAATAATATATTTATAATGAAATTTATATTTATAAAATTAATAAATTTTAAAAAAATTTTATTTATGAGTTCTATTTAATTATTTAAATATTTATTTGATATACTATTTAAAAATGTTAATTGAGCATTATTTCAGAGAAACAATTTCTTCTTTACATTAATTCTTCTTTACATTAAGCTTTTTTTAGAAAATAATTTTTCTAATGATATTGTTGAGATCATTAGTTAAATTTAGATACAGATTTTATTTTCAAATTTCAAATTTGTTCAATTTGAGATTTTAATGGAAAAAAAAAATTATATATATATATTTCATAATGAAAGGGAAAAATAATCATAAAATTATATATTATCAAAAATATCGAAGTTTATAAGTTTAAAAAAAGTATTATAAAAGCAGTATTATAAGTTTAAAAAAATATCGATTTTGATATATCAATTTTTAAACTAAAAAAAAATCCTAATATGTAGATGAGATTATAATTGAAAAAAATCATATGTTAATCGTCTGGATGAAGTATGATATCGAATAAAAACAGTTGTGTGTGACAACTGTGCACGTAAATAAATAATAACAAAAAGCATTAATTGAATATCCTTTTTCAATCTAATGTGCGTGAAAATAAATAGACAAATCTTCGATCGATAATCTTATTACCTATATATCAAAAAATCGCAATATATAATTATATTATCTATGAAAGTATTCCAAATATCGTATTATATCGGATATAATATTTCAATTCGTTAAATTATTACATTATTCATGCTTACATCATTTTTTGATTAATAATTATTTATCATATTTAAGTCATCTCGTTACCTATCTAGATCATTTTATTTTTAGAGTTACGATTACGCCATACTAATATTATACTGTTCTCTTTAAAATATTCTATACATATTGAAATATCCGAAAAATTTTATTATTTTCTTTATGTTTATATTCTTAAAACAATTAAATTATTTCTAGATCTATTTATAAAATTTGTATAAATATTTTAATTTTATTTATTTCGTATATATATAAAATGTAAAAGGAATATATTTCAGCGTATTATTAAAAATGTTAAATTCATTTTAAATAATAACTAAAGTGCAATATAGTTTTGAAATTATCTACGATTAGATAAAATTATATTATATTGTTATTTTACTTGATATATTTTTATCTATTCGTTATTAAACTTTATTATGATTCTAATTCTATAGCTTTATTGACTATCGCGATAATACGAATGTAGCGTGTACTTGTGAAAGCGAATTGACATTTTTTCAAGGTTAACATTCTCAGTAAAGGCGATCTTTTGATATTTCACTAGCAGTATTTTATTTACTGTTTTGTAATAATAAAATAATAATAATGTATGATAAGAATTTAATTAATTTAATTAAATCTATATATATTATATGTCATACTGTATATAATATATATTATATATAACATATTATATATATAGTTTTTGTATTCATATATTTTAATTTGCCATATATGCAATATAAAAATTTTTACATTTAGTTTAAATATTGTAACATTATATTTCTTAATATTTTACTATATGTATGTATGAAAATGCTTAAAATTAGTGTTCTCGTTTTTTTAATATATATAATTTTAATATATCAATTATTATTATATTTATTAATTTCCATATAAATAATATTATAATAATATATATACATAATAATATTATAATATTATAAATAATTAAAATTTTATTATATTAGAATTATATTGTTTAAATTTTTTTTCATATATAATACATTTTTTTTATTTTACTTTTTCTAATGATTAATTTATTTTAAAATTAATATGATTAAAAGAAATAATTAATTATAATGATCTTTTATTTGCTTACATTTTGATTAAAAATAACTTAATTATTTTACATTTTATTTTAATTATTATTATATTTTATTAAAATCTCAATAATGCAAATATAGTCTTAATCTGTGATCAATATATATAATAATATTTCGCTAACATTTCACCAATTTATAACATATACAATAACAAATGAACATTTAATAATAGCGAATAAGAAAATAACTTAATTCAAATAATTTTGTTAATAATTAATATATTATAAAAAATTTCATTTTTGTTTCTTTATTGTATGTATAAAAACATAAAAATTCTTATTATTTTTTTAAATAAATATATTTAAATTAAAGATTTTTTTTATTTATATTATTGCATTTATATATGTATACAAGTATGTATTAAAAACGTATTTTCCAAAGTGTTTTGAATGGATGTTCAACTATGATTCAATCTCGAGCCAAAATATTCAGGTCACTCCCTCTAGAGAGGCGAGTAGGTTAAAGTTTGGTATGTCACGAGGCCGGCTAGACAACATTAGGCGAATGCGAAAGATTGCAGCGAGTCTTTCTATGAAAACAGCAACCGTGGCTTGATAGCAATAAAATGTCCATAAGTTACGCGCAAGAGGGTGCTCTCCGTTTCGATAACGAAAGCGGTTCAGTGGCAAAAGAGGATGGGAGAAAGCCTAGCCTCGAGTAGGATGAACGACGCCGATTCTAGCAAGGTTAGATATTGCGGCGCGCATGCGTCATATCGATTTCTTCCTTTGCCTTTGCCTTTACTTTTGCCTTTACTTTTGCCTTTATCCGTGTCTCTATCTTTGTATGCGTATACGCATACAAACATTTTCTTTTCCTACTTATCTAGTTATCTGAGAATGTATTCAAAAAGAATGCTTCGTGTTAAAACAAAATGCAAATTTATACCAAGTTATACGAGTTTTCGCGATTGATCAGATTTAATTTAAACGAATCAAGAAAATAGAATGAAGAATAAATAGTTAACCAGATAAATCTGGTGCATCAATTCAACTGGTGTTTGTGATTGGATTCCTATTTGGATAATAGAGTTATAACTCATCTTTCTTTTTCATATTATAATACTTATATAATCCCACTGGTTAGAGAGAACAACAAAAAGAAAATAAGAGTGGGATTTGAAAAAACTTAAATACTTGTGGTTCGATGTAACATTAGTCACGTGACTGAGTACAAGAATTTTTCTTTAGTAGTGGGGATGAATTCCAAGCATATATCCGTAAGAAGAGCATACAACGAATAAATGCTGTATATGCATACATAAGCAAACATTCTAATTAAATATTTTCAATTATTCCAATTGATAATTGGAAATAACAGACAAATTAAATCTTTTGAAGATATTTTCATTGATATATTCTTCCGATTCGTTACCCGAATGAATCGGGTTAGATTGGCCGTAAATCGTGCCGCACCTGTCTGTAGGCCGATCGAATGTTTTTCGAGGATGCAGTGACAATGAAATTCGATAGTCTCGGATAACTTATATCTATTGGATCGGTGTATTCACGGGTCAACGGCGTTACGACAATACCGAAAGCCGGACAGGGATAGTCGATGAACAGGGAAGTGGAAGGAAGGGTTGTGCCTAGGGAAAGTGTGGTGATCTTTGTGTTAAGTGCTTGAAATTCGATGCATCCTGCCTATCCTGTCTCGTCTTGTCTCAGATATGAGGATGTGTCGTTGCCCTCGTTGCTACATATTGTTATTGCTGCTGTTATTGTTATCATGTATGCATACACTTATCATATGTGTGCATCATACTCATCCTACTCATCGCGCGACTCGATCAACTGATTTATTCCGCTCGCTTGCTGCTCTTCATTAATTTTCATTAAGTAGTAATCTTAAAGATTCGATACACAATCATCGGCTGTTTCAGATCTAATAACTTTCTCCAGGCATTCGTGACTTACGTTGCATCGGAGCCTTTCAAGTCTGCCGATAAGTGTGCTTCATCTTTCAAACAAGTTTCTCCGCTCAAATTGTACATATGTATATACATGTATATACATATATACATAAGTCAAAAGTACTAAAAATTTATTACAGAAAATTTTTGTAAATATATTACGTGTTATATAAGATTTTTAAATTATTAAAATCGAAGTAAATACGAGTACAAACATATTGTATGGATAAAATTTGAAATAAATTTAAAAAAATATATAAAAATATATATATATATATATAAGTTAAGAAAAAAATATCTCACGTTGATTATTTAATTTTTATTTTAAAAAAATATTATTATATTATAGTTAATTACCATTAAGCGATTACATAGATGCAATAGTACTGTTGATCTACAGCAATAATGGTCAAATCTTATCATGGTAGAGCTACTATATATTACCTATCAGAAATATTCAAGAGCCGGCATTCTTGATAAAAAGGATATTATAAACTACGTGTGTGCGTCATAGGTTTGTTATAAATATCTATTTTTATATCTCAATGCATTTTAAAATATGATTACTATATATGTGCTTTTTAAATCAAAATTTATAAATCATATATATATATGAATCATAAGGATACATAAAATCGGAATTGCGATTCTAAATCTCACGTATGAGAATGATTTTCCGTTATATTTACATAAACAGTTGATAATAAGTGGTTACAATATAATAATATTTTAAAAGTTTTATGAACAACTTGAAAATTAAAATTAATCATCGATTATACATAAAGGAACAAATTATTCAAAATAATAACGTTTTACAATGTATTTCTAGCTCATTAAAATCAATGAAGGAGTTATATTGGAGGAGGAGTTTAATTATTGGTTAATTTCATCTGAAAAGTAAATTTTTTGAAAACGCATCACATCTATTAGTAATAAAAAAAAATTATTCTATTCATTTGGATTCCTTTTAGATAACTTATTCACTAATAGTCTCATTGCCCATTTCGGTGATCACTTGTTGAAACATATCAACGAATTATTCTTTATTTATGGAACGAAGATTCGAACAAGCGATTCGTCATAATTCTCGCGCAGTAGAATAAGCAGCGAGGAATTAACGAAGAACGTAGGCCGCGGTCAAAATTAGATTGAAAAGCGAGTAGAGCGACATGCACGCGGACATGACGCGCGTTACATAAGCCACCTAGCGGAAGCAGCGAACACAGACGAGTAATCGTACGAAACGATTTCGATGGCTCGATAATAAAAGAGAACAAAGGAACGAGGGAGGGGGAATGGCACTTGAGGCGCAGAGTAGTGTCGTTAAAATGAGAGTTGAGTGTGGTGGAAGTATATCTCGTTAATAATCTCAAGGGAATGAGAATGGAAAGGGAAAGGGAAGGATAATATTCACACTAAATTCAGAGGGACACGCTTTTTGGAAGGAGCGGGATCAAACATGTGAAACTGCGCGTGCACACGTATTATTTACACGAATTTGAAACATGGACGTCCATCGTCGGTACGTTCTAATTCTGGCGAATGACTTAACTTCACGGCAATGTGTATGGTTACATTCGTTTATGGTTACCTACGTGGGTGCACGTTGTGTACTCATTTTGCGTCGTGCCTCACCGTTCACCGTTTTCCTCGTCTGTATCGATCAAAATGTTTGACCTTGACGAGAAAGATCCCCCGCTTACACGTTAGATCCAAGCTCCGTTGCACGCTTCCTGGTCAACGTCAAATGATGCGCTTGGCAACTAGCTTCGTTTAAAGCGATCTACACATGCTGAAACATGTATCGCGATACAGATATTCTATTCCTAGATTTTATGAAACTGCGCATCAGTCTCGAACAATCTATACATGGTGAAACTTGCATCTGTATCTTGCCTTTCTTAATTAAAAATATTCTTAGTTTAGTACTTTATTAATTTTATGTAAAGATACGTTACAATATTTGAAATTCTATATTTTTTATTTTTTTAATGAAATTAGCTAATATGAATTTCTCAAAGATTTAAAAATAATTTAATTTTAAAAAAAAAGGCATAATGGAAATGATAAAATTTCAGATTTTTTTCGATATTTTTTTTTCGATTTATAAAATGTTAAATAAGACATTTTAAGAGCAATGTATTGGATTTGGATCATTGATTAGAATGGAATATATTTATAATTTAAACGAATAATTCAAAGGATTCAGAATCGAAATACAGAATTTATTTATTTATATTTTCTATTATCATAGAAAGTAACAATAAATGAAAAGAGGAGAATCAAAAATCGAAATGAGAAGAAATATATAAATGAGTCAACCAATCTTAATGCAACAGTACAATTTTTTATCTTTAATTTCTCTATGTATTTGTTTTGTGAAATTAAAATTAGATTTATTTATTTAATAAATAAATAAAAATAAATTATTATCATTAAATATACAAATATCATTCAAATTATATTCTGTTTGGTCTTGTTCAATTAGAAAAATCTCACAAATACATTGATAATAGTAAACAAAAATAAAGAAAAAAAAATATCATTGAATTAGTATCATCTCACAGATGTTTGATCTTAGATCAAATTATATTGCTCGCCTGATGTATCAAGAGATAGTGGGAATGAATCTTTCGTAGTTCTGTTTTGCGGTTACAAAATATTTACTATACCAATTATCATATCGATATTAGTCCACATACATATACATATACATATACATATACACACACATTATATCTTGCATCATGAAACCTCGAAATCGATATCTATATATCGCAATATATTTCAACGTGTGCTTTTAACGAATGGATCAATGCAATCAACTATAAATTTACTACTAAACTTTTCCTCCACATATATTTTCGATCGTTTCGAAAATTTTCCTATGATTTATTGTATAGTAACTATGATTGGTAAAGCGCTTCAATTTTCAACTATTATTAACGATTCATCACTACATGTATACGTGTCTATTTATTTAAGGTTAGGAATTCATATTATACACGTGTATGTATTTAAGGTTAGGAATTCAAAAGAAAAAAAGTCTTGACGCGTCGTATTGTCGCATGAAACAATTCCAAAGAGATTTCGCTCCCCTTTTCTTGCAACGGGGATGCATCTAGGATATATAGATAGAACTGTAGCCATGGGAAGCATGCGGTACCGTACGCTTCCGCAACCGTAAATTAGACGAGAGGTGAATTAAATCGCTTAACCGTGTGGAATATTATTCGGTTATTCGATATATCGATATATCGATATAATTCGATTATATGATGTGAATGTAACTGATTGAAAGAAGCTAAGAAACGTAATTGTTGATATTGTTTAAGAAAATGGAAAAACTTTTTTTTTCATTTTTGTTATCACGTTAAACGAATAATTGATGATCAATTGTCGATGCATGATTATATTTTTCTCATATTTTATCTTCGAAATAAAAAAAAAAAAATATATAATTATTCTAAATATTTTACTATCGATCTTGAATCGATCGTTTCTGACTTTAGAAAATAAATCTCTAATTTTTATAATTATTCTGTTATTGCATCATCAAAAGAGGTTTTCAATAAATACAGTTTAATAAGGGTAGTACGTAGAATGGTCCAAAGCATTTAGAAAATTGTCCCGGTGCGCTGACCTACGTTTGCAGCTGGATCGAAATAACTTCGCCTCTCGTGCAGCTTCCTGGAAACATCGAATTCTTCGTGCCATTGCTTCTTAACTAATTTTGTTGGCTGTTTCAGAAACACGCAAGTCTTTTTTTTATGAATTCTTTTGTGTAAAATCTTCGCCTTGGATCAAAATTTTCGCCTGTTGCACACGTGTATAGTAATATTCGGTTAAATCGAATCAAACTTGATATTCAATATTGTTGAATGTAACAAATAAGCGAATAAAGAAATATATTTTTTTTTTTAAAAATTGATACAAACATTATTCAATGAAATGGGATAATATATATAATTAAATATAATAAGATAGAAAAAAAAATTAATTTTGCAATAAAGAAAATTTTAGTTTTTTTTATAATTTTATAATTTGTATCATTAATTAAATCGTGAAAATAATTCAGTAAATTAATCAGTAAATTTAAATTGAATTTAATCGCGCGTCGCTGTATCATTTTTCGAAGGGTTGCATACGATTTTTTATTTACGATA